CTTTTACCATATGGCCAATCTTTAAATTAATCCATCAAAATCAATTTTTGCCACAAACTCCAAACCTTCTTCTATCACATTATTTAACTCTAGACTCAAGTCAATTCCAGTAAACCAACCATTCAAATATCTTGGATGCTGGTTTACTCTTGATAACAAACAAATACACCAGATTAAGCTCATTCAAAATGAAGCATACCAGCTTATATATACTGCAAATACAAAGAAAATTACTGATAAACAAATCACTTATATTATTAATATAGTCATCATACCTACTCTCGAATACCGAATACATAATATTATACTACCTCGTACTGTATATGACAAAATCCTAGCTAAATATCTTACAGTAGCTAAACACAAATCACATCTTTCTAGATCAATCCCTAACAGCACTATGCTTAATCCATATCTGTATAATATTCGCAATATTTGAGATATTCAACTTCAGCACCATATTTCTAACTTTCATTCACGTATTAACAACCCTCATCTTTTGGAAATTTCTACACATATTAGACTTCAACAACTTCAAAATAATCTATAGTCAGCTACTAATATACTACAACATTCCAATCCTATTATCAATGGACATAACCAATGAACATTAAATTTTAAAGTTATTCAGCTTATATTATAGCTTAATATTTCTATTACAGCAAATTTAGAAATATTATGGCCAATTACTATTAAATATAATTTACAACCACTTGAAACCATCTTAAACAAACATCCCAATTATATTACCTTTAAACAACAGCTTAGAAAGCTTCAACTGCTTTATCTAAAACAAATCTGTACAGCTAACAATTCATGCCTTTTAGAATGACAACATCTTTCACCTAGGCTACTCCACTTACCTAGAAGTGTTAAACCTAAGTGGTTTACTACACTTGAAAACATAGTCATTGAAAACAGACTTAACTGTACTATTCAGACTCAGTACCAACCTAAGGGATCTAACCCTTTCATTTACAATATATATAATATTCTAAAAAGATCTCAACCATGGTTAATCAGCTTTAATAATAAAGAAATTATCTTAGGCAAAATTCATAAATTTATCTCAGAAGCTAATAAGTTTTTTATTACTTATTAGCTAACAGACATAGATATAAATATTACTAGCTGCTACCCACTCCTCTCTATAAATTGCTACAAATGCCCTAGATGTCATATTGACTCTAAAAGACTATTATCAGCATGTACTATAAATGTTTCAGCTATTACATCAGCTCAGTTTTTTGGCAGAACCACGGAATCTAAACTCAAACCAAACTTTAACTACATGGATCTTATCTTCTCTACTGCAGTTAAATTCCCACTTCCGGACCATCTATCATCTACTTTGCCCTCTATTCCAGTTTCTAATTCATTAGCATCATCAATCTTTCAAACCAGCAGTAAAATTATCAAACTCGAAGAGATTGCTTCACATAATTCTAATCAGAGCATATTTAACTTTTATACAGACGGTTCAGTTATTAATATTGGATCTGGATAATACTCTATAGGTATTGGATGAGTCCAAGTTAATGATACTAATGAGATCATTTATAAATTTTTTGCAAAAATAGGATTATGGCCATCATCCTATAAAGCTAAACTATTCTTAGTTCTATCAGCAATATCAATAATCCTATGCTATTCAACAGTTAACATATACACAAACTCTCAATCTATCATATCCAAGTTTGACAAACTTGATACACCATTTATTAATCCTAACAAACTCCTCAAATTTAACTCTTGGCCCTTATGGTACACTCTTTTAAATATTATCAAATCCTACAAAATTCAAGTTATCTTTCACAAAGTTCCTGCACATTCCGATAATACCCTTAATAATTTAGCAGATTCTCTTGCTAAACAACATATACTTGAAACACAACTACACTTTAACTATACCAATATATATAACCCATATCATACTTTACAATGGAAAAATGATCAATTCTTTATTAAACATCCTACACAAGACTTGATCAAAACAATATATAAAGCCCAAATTCTGGCAATGTAGTCTTCACAAAAATGAAATAACCAGTGGTCTTCACTCAACCATAAAATTGACTGGAGATCTAAATGGCTATACTTTAATCACAATCAAAAACCAACTCTTAATATAACAAACTTTAAACTTAATCAACTTAAATCCTTCAAAATTAAAATTCTTCTTAATGAACTACCTACACATTTTCTTCACCATACTTTTTATCCTAACTACTTTGATAATCCTAACTGCTTTCATTGCAATACTCCAGACTCACAAACACACTATCTTAGCTATAATAATCTAGAACGACTTTATCAAATTATAACTACAGTTTCAACTGAATATCTTAAAGCTGCTGAATTAGATCTTCCTAATGATCAAATAGAAGAACTCATCTACAAGATACACAATCACAAAGCCTTCAATCAAATAGCTATACACTCAAGTTCACATTATATTGAACTTACATTCAAAGGCTTAATTCTATTATCCTTGATTAATACTTTTTAAGAATTTAATATTCTCTACAAAATAACAGCTTATACTGCTATTAATATATTACTTAAAATTATTAAATAATTTTATGAACAAATATGAAAACCATACTGTTCTAACTTTTCTAACTGAAAAAAACAAAATAAATTAACCTATCCCTACTCTAATACGCAAAATCTAACACAACCATTAACTACAACCAGACATACTCACACAATATATACTTACTCTTGTCTATATAAAGAATCTGATCAATTACATACCCATCCTAGTACTTGTCTACCAGTTGGTCAAGCTAGAAAAAATATAACAATTGGTTTACTCATTGGGTTAAATATAATACGTCCTTAAACTTTTTACTAACTATTTCAATCTAGGTGAGTCTTTAACCACTCTAGTAGGTTTAGGTCACAGATAAAGTAGTCTGAGCTTTTATTCTTGCAATGTAGTTTTATTCTTATTTGTACTAGTACAAACTGTAGTAATTATTTAGTTAGTTATTACTATATTTTGGTGCTTATAAAACTATTAATAAAGATATGAGCAAGGCCTTACCTTAATTCAAAAAAAAAAAAGTTGTACTATACTACTACTTTTATTTTTCATATTGATAATCTAGCTGGTCAATTGGCATATACACTAAACTTCAATATAACACAATCTTAAACCAACAATCAGTTTATACGAAAGAGGCAGTTATATTTGGCTGATTGAATTAGCTCTTTTGATAAGTTTCATTGTAATCTTCATTATACAACACTAATACTAAAATCTTTTTCCCTTATATTCAAACTATGACCAAATTGGTACGTTGACTAGCAGGAACAATTGTATGAGATAATCTACACTGAAATCCTAAAACCACAACCAATTCGGTATGTTGAATGGTCTTCGCTTTACTTCAATAACCACAGCTTTACCACTATACGTTGAGCCTAAACTGGTAGGCAACTTTAAATTTGAACTTGAAGTCATGTATACAAGAGTAAGTTGAACAATAGTCTATTCACATAGACACAATGACAAGATGGGCAAAGTAAAAGTTTATGTACTATAAAAGTTTAGGATATTTTATAATTATTTTTGATAGGGCTGATTATAGTATTTATAGAACAGTTATATTTTAAGGTACGTCAAACTTCAACTTTATTATGGGTGAAGAGCTCAAATATATATATAATACTTTGTATATAAGCACAAAGCTATTTAATAAAACTATACTATTGAACTTGTTTAGCTATCTTTATTTATTTAATTACCCTATTTTACTTCACTTATCTTGTGACTTAGCTTTTTCCTCCTTTTTTATTTACTTTCACCTCTTTAATAAAATGATCTTGTGCAGTATATCTAATATGACTAGTATATCAGATATATCTCTGGAAAATCTATGTTTAGTAAAAAATCATTGCACCTAATCATACTATGATTATGTAGTTACGTGTCATTACTTGTGCTATAGTTCATTTCAGATCTTACAATACTATATTATTTTAAACAAATTCTTTTCAAACTCAAACATTTTTGCAAACTTCAAATCAAACTCAAATTAACTTTATGAGTTTGATTTAAGTTTGATAATTTTGTATTTGATTTGAGTTTGAGTTTGAATTATTAAAACTTTATAGTTTGCATTTAAGTTTAATTTGAAATTTGATTAAACTCAAATCAAACTTTAAAACACTATCTGTTCTTAGTAAATAAATTCCTTAAATATATAAGTTTTATTTCTACAATATAAAATTTATTTCTATAATAACTTGCATTATTTCTAAATAAATAACAGCTTCAACTGAGCAGCAAAGCTGCCCACATCTGCATTCTCTAGCTAATAATCAATTTAAGAGTAATATTAATGAATTAAACTAATTTTAGATTTTTATATTTGGAAGAATATTTAAAACAATGTGACTAAGATCAGGACTAGCCTGATATTAAAAAATGTTATATAGATATAAGCCAATTTTGTAATTAGTAATAACTTTTAATCTATTGGTCTATTTTAAATGGCTATATTATCAAAATGGTCTCCTCAATAAAGTGATTCTAATACTAATAAAATTAATTATTTAATCAATAAAATTAATTATTTAATCAATAAAATTACTTAAAACAAATATCTGTATAACTCATTTTATTAGTTGTTTAATATAAAAACTAATGAAATAGATTACACAAACATTTTTTTAGGCAATTTTATTGGTTAAATAATTAATTTTATTAGTTAAAATTTTATTTGGTCTATAGTGATTTTAGGATCTTGTGATTAGATTTTGATAATTTGGGCTTGTTAGAATCACCTTATTGAAAAGATAATTTTGATAATAAAACTATTTAAAATAGACCAATAGATTAAAATTTATTGCTAATTACAAAAATTGACCCATATATATAAGAATTATTGACAAAAATATTTTTAGAATTAATATTGCTTTTTGCTTATTAAATAATTATTATAGATATGAATAAGAAATCTAATAACAGTTCACAATCATTTAAATTTTACCTATAATAACTAAAAATGAAAGTTTATAAAATGGAGTAGTTTTAACTAGGGATTGGAACCGCCTAAAATTTTTCTTAATCGTTTAATCATTTAATCGTTTAACTGTTTAATTTGGCCAGCATTAAGATAATTCCGGCCTACGACCAACATAATTCTGCCCGGAATTATGGACAATTTTTAAACGGTTAAACGGTTCCAATCTCTAGTTTTAACACATCTAGATCCTAACAGTATTACCAACACCAGTATCAAAACATTGAATTCACTATTGCGCATATTACCTCATTCTTCAACCCATTGTTCTCAGTTTGAATTTTTTGGGGGTTTCCAATCTTTTTGCAACCAGAGAATCAATAATTTATAATAATCATCAATATCTTAAAAAACAAAAGCATTGGCAAAAAGTTTATTTTTATGAAAAACCTCTGTCTATTATATTACGCAAAAATTATTCAATCAATATGATGCAGCTGCTTAATACATAATAAATTTTTACTGCAGCATTACATTATAACAACATGACTGAATTACAAAAAAGAACATAATTAATTGGCTTTGTAACTATCAATACTCCAACCACGTATTGATACACATAAGGCCTTAACACGCAAAGAAATTAAGCACTTGAATTATTATTCAGCAGCACGTTCAATATGTTCCATGTGATGCTAGTTATGTGAAAAATAAACACTAAGTGACATATAGAATCACGTGGACCAATCAGATCCAAGATTTTGCAGACTAACGCCAATTTCATTCGGTTCCTGGTATGGTCGTCTTTATACTTATAAGTTTGATATGTCTGGCAATTTAAAATGTATAAGAGTATAAATTATACTACGCTACCATTTTATTTTTCTTACTATACTTCATATATTATACACCAGGATTATGATCTACTACCTAATATACTATTTATTACTAGTATTACGCAGTATTTAATACAAATACTACGAAAAGCACTACAGTAGTGGTTAATTACCTCAATTCAGTGTAAAATTACACGCACGCTCCAGTACCATTGGAAATGAAACTATTGCAATATTGTTTCCAATCCTCATCCCCCGTTGGGTTTGTATATTCCGGTTCTTGACACAAATCTCTCCACGGTGTTAAGGTTACAGTTTGGCCAATTTTGTCGATAAATATAGTTTCATCTGATGGCTCCAAGTTGGGAAGTTCAAGTGGAAGTTCAACAAATTGAGCCATCATTCCAACTTCGACATGCCACTTTTTTCAAAAAAACAAAAAAAAAATCAAAAATTATTAAGTACAATGCATCATTCAATATATACATATTATAATCATTATAAGACTTTTACCTCAATATGACAATGGAAAGCCCAAACGCCATAATTCTCCGTTTTAAACCGAATTTTCACAGTACTTTTAGTTTAAAATTAAATAAAATTAGAATATGGAAAAGTAAACCCTTTGAGAATTAAAATGACTCACCTCCTAGGGGCAACTGTCACAGTGTCACGCTCAATCTGGTTGTTCGAGTATTCTATAATTGGACCTGAGGCACTTTTTTGATATGCCATAACCCGAAAGAAATGACCATGCTAAATATGTATTAAAAAGGTTAATAAATATGTAAAATATAACACTCGCTAAATTTAAGGATTGTTACCAAATGAATTGGGTGAGCGATATCGTCTGCATCTAAAAAAAATAAAATCTGTTATATAGTTAAAGTAATTATATTTTAACATCTTCTTAAAATACTAACTGGTAATTATAACATCAATAAGCTGTCCATAATTATTTAAAACTATAACATTAAGTTCTGGATCATAAATTTGAGAACCGTACTCTTTGAATAGATCTTGATTTTCGATTGTATATTGGACTGTATTTTGAGTGTAATCGAAGATTGACTCGTTAAATATCACAGCTAGACCTGAATCCGATGTTAAAGCTATTGAACCATATGTTGTATATATATAGTTCTTTGTAGAGTTAATTGTAGTCATATAAATTCCAAAAGGTAAAGCTAGTTTGTCTTCGCTTTCTTCTGCACTTGATCCATCTGCTGGTGACAACAAACCATACTCAAAATCAATACAAGGTAATTTATCTTTAAGTTCTGTGTCATTATTTACGTTTACGTATGGTTCAGTTTTGGGTACATCAACAGATTCATCGCCGTAATGAACAATTGCTCTAATCTCTTTGACTAGCATTTTCTTTTCATCACAAGGCGTAGTACTTCGAATACAAGATAGACTAGTTTGAATACGCATCCAAAAATCGCTTGTTTCATTATCATCAGTGCTAGCTATCACAGAATATCTTTGTCCGACACTAAGAGGTAAAAGGGTGTGATTCTTATATTGGTCCTTGACGCGCATTCCTTCAACCTCGATAATTTCTAACGTATGTTTGTCAATTGAAAAATAGTACAGCACTAACGCTCTAAATATAGTAATGAAAAATATAATGAATCCATTTTTATTATTACCCTGCATTTAATATGAGATGCATTTTTATTATTACCCTGAATTTAGTATGCGAAGTCGATATCTTTTGTTTCTTTGAAATTTATATACAACATCAGGTGCTACAACACTATTTACTGGTGTAGCACCCATACAATTTCCTGCACCCTTTCCATTAATAACTATGGAGTGAGGAACAGGCTATTAAAAATAAATAAATAAATACGTTAGTGTTTTCACAAATCGGTTTTTTGAAGAAGCGAATATTTAACAGTATATTACCTCTACAGTTGTTTTAGGTGAATCATTACAGTAATGATATGCATTCAGTAATGTATTTGCCCAAGCATGGTACCAGTCTGATATGAGTACACAATATGGGCATGGATCCTCAGCATTCTCATCATCATCTGCTAAATCTACATAACTTTTATCAGCATCCTTAATGATAATGTAGCCGTAAAATCCATCAACACGTTGAGGTTTATAATGAGAATGACTGGATTTTATAAAGATTCTGTTATTGTGACCAACTTTAGGAATTAAATTTATTGGTTGTATACTTACTACCAATGAGTACCAGGCTTAGCATTAGCCCTAAATTCGTATAGAAAATTGTCACCGGATTTAATTGGGCATTGTGTTATGGTCGGGACTCCATCCGAAAAACAGGTCTTTTGCATAAGAAGTCCATGCCAATGGACTGTAGTCGGCTCTCCAAGATTATTCCTTATTAAAACTCTAACACGTTGGTTTGGTCTCACTATAAGGGTTGGTGCAGGGAAAGGGAATGGTTTACCTGTATCAACGAATGGTTGATTTCCTATGTAGGTAGGGTAAACAACAATGACGTTCCGCGTAGCATTGTCCTGTACACATCCGTCGATATTTAATGAAACCTTGGCAACTGTCCAATCAATAATGCCATCTTCATTTCTTGCATCAATTGTACGAGGACGAGGTATAGACAATGCCGAAATAGATAATTGTAAAATTATAAATAACACGATAAGAAGCAATTTTTTTAACACCATTTTCATTTCTATTTTATGTTATTTATTGAATCTATATCTAACAAAACTTAAGTACGGGAACGGCCAACTATTTAAACTTTTTAACGACTTATTCTCTTTCAATCATTTCTGAAAAACATGAAAAGCCCATGATTTCCGGAAATTACCGAAAGATTTATTTGTTTTTCTGAGTTTCGCAAGGCTAAAATGTTTTCATTCTTAAAACTCAAAACATATCGGCCAATTTTGATTTTTGGACAAAGGTTATACGAATTTTTTAAGTCAATATCGAAAAGGTAACAAACGAAGCACTTATAAACTAGTAAAAGAACTTTTTAGCATCTAGACAAGATCAAAAACCAAAGAAAATAAATAAAACAATATGCTAAGTTGTAGAAAAAAGTACTTTTACTGCTTGTTGATATATTCGGGTGTTTTAGGATTGGCACATCTTTAGAAATGAGGCATTGTCAAACAAAATAAGCCGTTAAGATATAAATTTATCATATAGTAAAATAATTAGCTCAATTTAATTAACATCGCCTCAAACGAAATATCCAAAAGCAAAAATAGCTTATATCCAAATATTTATTATTAGTAAAATAATTAGCTCAATCTAATTAACATCGCCTCAAACGAAATATCCAAAAGCAAAAATAGCTTATATCCAAATATTTATTATTTAAGAAAATCAAAATACTGTATATTCATTTTTGACCTCTAAATATATGCTGTTTGTGTACATTATTGGACAGGCGACAAAAAATAACAGTAAATTTTTTTTGTCGGAATTAATGTCACTCCATGTGCTGCGTAGCAGCACATGAATGAAATTAACTCCGTTGAAAAAAAAATTTGTTATTTGTCATACATACGTTCAATAAAGATGCCGATGGTTAATATGACCGTGTGAAGTTTTTTCAGTGATATTTTGCAAAACTGATTACGTAATTTCATGCAAGGTAAAATTCACATGATCATATGAAATTCGGGTAATTACACATATTGTGCCATTTTCGCTTATGCTATGACTTCCTTTTTTTGAAATAATGTATAATGTTTGAAATCCAAGCTATATATGTAACATCAATAGCTTAAAAGAAATGTATATACGGCTATGGTAAGGGCTCAACCTGGAATTTTATGGGATATAGCCTCGTTTGGGCTTATAATTTTGAGACAAGTCATTTAGCAGTTATGTAACTCACCGGTCTAAAAATTTTTTAAGCAAATATGTTTAAGATCACGTGTAACATATAAGAAAAACAAACAAACGTTATAAATTAAAATTTTGCCTGAGTGCCTTCTTAATGAAAATTTGCTATAACTATAACCCTCTAACCCTATCTTTCAAGCGCACCCCTAACTACATTTAGCCAACGGCTCAAAATTTTTATATCAAAATTTTTATGGTAAAATAACATACAAAATGTTTAGATTGGTGATGCTAGCTTTGTATTATTAGAATTGGGCTTAGGCAGGCCCGGGCTGGGTTTGGGCTAGAAACCTTCAACCTTGGCTTGTTCCAATGTCCAACAAAAATATTGGCCGAGCATAGGCACAAACACAGAAACTCAAATATGGACACAAACATAAAAATTTGGCACAAGCATGTTTGTAAAGTTACCGTTATTCAAAAAATTTTTGCCGTAATTTACGAGCTTATGTAACTTACCTGGTAACTTACCATGCACCCGAAAATTCTCCTTAATATGTTTGTTGACTATCTACATTCCGACCTTTTTTTACTTAATGTCGCCATAAATTACTTAACTCTGAAGTAATTCGATAGCTTACTAAATATTTAGATAATTACCATTTACAACCATGGGCACAGGCAGCTCTTGGATAGGGTTTTGCAAATGTGTACACAGGCATTATTAAAATATAAGCACGATCATGGCGCTATGCACAGGTAGGACAATAAACCTTTTCAACAAGTATTCTTTCAAAAATCCTTGGTGTGATATGCAACCTTTCTGAATATTTTCTAAACATTTTCCAACCTTTCATATTACATGTGAAAGAGATACGGAAAGAATTTCGATAATAAAGAAAATATTTGGAAAAGTTGCATATCGCACCAAATATTTTTGAAAGAATATTTGTGAAAAAGATTTATTGTTCTACTCGTGTATGTTTTGATAGTACCGTCTGAGAAGCCACTAGCATTCATGACTTTTTATAAATTTATAAATTTAACATAACAATATATTGAGAAACAACCTTTTTTTAATAAAATAATATGCTGAGAAAAAAAAATGACTTCGGACTTTCAAATTTATCTTCTATTATTTGAGTACGGGCAAGGGAAAATGTAAATTCTAAAAATAAATGATTATGAATTTCATAATAACCTATTTTTAGAATGTACATTTTCTCTTGCCCGCACTCATTTAATCTTTGTATTTTTAATAAAATAATGAAATCGTGACTTCAGACTTTCAAGTTTATTTTCTATTATTAACCATACTCAGCACTAACAAGTGATATATATCTATATGTAACTAAATTTGGTTATGCATTATATGGCTTTGGTTAGGGCTAATGACTGGATTCGTCAACTCGTGACTCGAATAACTTGAATTTATCATGATTCGAATCATGAAATTTTAACTCGAAAGGTATTTGCGAATTAGTTTAATTTACTACATTTTAAATTAATTTCATGGCTTGAATTTCTCAAATAGCTCGAACAAATAATTAAAAGCGTATGATTCGAATGCTTTATGAGTTTAATTCGCGAGCTACGAGTTGAAGCGAATCCAGTCATAAATAATAAAGAGTTAGCTAGGGCGGCCCCTCCAAAGTGCCATGACGTAAGACCAATCAGTGCAACTCATTGGTTCTCTTCTAGTTGCATATTGTAGATCACTTGTTTTAGATAACAATTGTGCGTACGTGATTC